TCATCTAATATGGGGCAGCGCCTATGGCTTGAAGGATTAGGGTGCCGGCCCCATATGCAGGAGGTGGCGGGTTCAAACCCAGCCCTGGCCCAAAACTGCAAAAATCAAACAAACAAACAAACAAAAAATCATTTAATCTGTCTTCCTGGAAGTCTATATGATCCTAATAGTGCTTTGGCAAGATGAATGTATAAAATTTTATGTACACAAATTGTCAGTCTTTTCTTTTGGGACTTGAGCTTCATGCCATGTTTAGTGGAGCTATTCCCACTACTGATTATAGAATACATCTACCTTTTTCTAATTTGTTGTGGCTTCATTTTTAAAATGCTTCAATTTCATGTGGCATTCATTTTGATCTAAGGAGAGGTAGATACTCAGTAGCTTTTTTTTCCAAGACCAGATTAGAATGCAGAGAGCTCATAGCAACCTCAAACTCTTAGGCTTAAGTGATCCTCCTACCTCAGCCTCCCAAGCAGCTGAGACTATCAGGGGGAGACAGGGGAGACCCTGAGACTAGAGGGGAGACCCTGCTCTTTTCTTTTTGCTCCCTTCTCTTCTTAAATCCCTCCCCTCTCCTTCAGCTCCTCCTCCCTTCCTTCCTTGCTATTATTATTTTATAATTTTGTAATATTTTGATGAGGTCTTGCTCTTGCTTAGGCTGGTCTTGAACTCCTGAGCTCAAGGGATCCTTCTGCCTCAGCCTTCCAGAATGCTAGGATTATAGATGTGAGCAACTGCACTGGGCTGCTTTAAAGATTTTTTTAAGATGAGGAAAGAAAAACAGTTAAGAAGGAGAGCAGTGCCTGTGGCTCAAAGGAGTAGGGCACCAGACTTATATGCCAAAGGTGGCAGGTTCAACCCCAGCCCTGGCCAAAAAAAAAAAAGAGTTAAGAAGGAGCCAAATCAGGACCATAATGTAGATGCCTATTGATTTCATATTAAACTGAAATTTAGCAGCACTCCCATGGTGGACAAGGACTCTTTGGGGAAGCCCTCCTGGGTGTTTGTCTGTACTAATGCCCCACCTAGTTTTCTCAAAACAGTCTTATAATAAAGCTGGTGTTATTGTCCTTTGGCCCTCCTGAAAGTCCATAAGCAAAATGCTTTCAGAATACCCCAAAGTACTGCCATGACCTTTGACATCGACCGGGCTGCTCAGTCTTTGCTTTGATGGCTCTTGTCTTTGGGATTGCACCGGTAAAGCCAGGTATCATGTCCTGCCATAATTCTTCAAAGAATTCAGGATTTTGAGCTCACTAGTTTATAATTCCCACTGAAAGCTCTCCTGTTTGTAGCTGATCTGGGCACCCATCAAGTGGAATGTTTGACTTTAATTTTTCAGTACAATTGTGTAAGCTCAATCAATTGAGGTTATCTTTGGTATTGGCTATTGTTTCTGCTTTGATAGGTGGTCCTCTTCAGTTAGGGCTCCTTGCAAATTGATGTGGATTGTGACGTGGACTGTCTGCTACTGTGGGCTTCAACTCCAACTCTGCCTTGTCCCTTCTTAAAATGAGTTAATTACTGGTAAATTGCTGATTTATTGGAACATTGGCCCATAAACTTCTTGTAAAGCACCAGTGATTTCATCTTCCTTCCATTCAAGCTTCACCATTGATTTGATGTTTGTTGCTTCAAATTCAGTAGAATTCATTTGGCTCTGACAGGGCTTTTTTGTCCCTCAGACTAGATCTTGTTCAGTCATCAAATTAGTACAAGTTTATTTTGGTGCAAAAGATTTTTGAAATCCATGCACAATTTTTTCATAACAAATTACCACAAATTTGGTAACTTATCATAAGTTTTATTTTCTCACAGTTCTGCAGTACAGAAGTCCTAATCCATGTCACTGGACTGAAATCAGAGTCAGAAGGGTTGCACTCTCTCCAGAAGCTGTAGGGGAGACTTTTTTTTTTTTCTTTTTTTTTGCCTTTTCCAACTACTAGTGGCTGCCAGCATTTCTTGGCTTATGGCTGCATTACTGTAGTCTCCACTTTTGTGTTTATATCGCCTTCTCCTTTTCTGTCTGGGCCAAGTCTCCTTTCATTTCTCTCTAATAAGAATACATGTGATTGAATTTAGGGTCTACCCAGATAATCTAGGATAATCTCTCCATCGCAAGATTCTTAATTTAATCACACCTGGAAGATGCTTTTTAAAATAACCCAACAAAGTAATATTTGCCATTTCAAATGATTAGGTCCTAATAGCTCCACATGGCTAGATCTTGGTACAGGTTTGCAAATTCCATGGGAGCAGAGCCCTTGCTTGTTGTTTTCACGTTTGTGCCCTCTGTGCTTACAGAAGTAAGAATCCTAGAACCAAGCAGGCATTCATTCAACATCTGTCACATTAATCATTATTAATGAATCACTTTGACCATTCCTTCTGCAGGATGGGGAGATTTTGTTGTACTCCAAAAGACATACCTAATACTATTAGCTGGAATTTATAGTGATAAACTTTGGCTGTTCATGAAATAGAATATTCTAACAGCCGGGCCTATCTATCCATGGTCTTGGTTGCTCCATGAAGGAATAAACTCCTTAAATATGTATTGAAATAGCATCTGGGTGATTATCTCTTAGGGATGCTAGAGAAGATATTTAAAATTAGATTCTAAAGAAGCCTAATTTCTTGAAATGTCTAGGATTTTTTCCTAAACCTATTATTAGTTTTAAAACCACTGAAGATAATTCCTCTAGTCGGTGACCTTGACATGGGTATCATACCTGGGAGTCTATACACACATTTTCTTTGCTGTGGATTAGCTCTGTTTCTCTGCAGAAAGTTAGAGCACCATGCTGGGAACTCTCAAAGTCAACTTGGTCCTTTACACAGAGGAATATTTTTTTCTTTTGATTTAAAAAATGCCTCTAAGTCTTTAAATTCTAATTTTAAACCCAGAAACATGCCCTATATGTATAAAATACGGTCACTGAAATAATGCAACTGACTTTTTGCTTTATATAGCAATACTGTCCCAGCTATATCCAAATAAAGGTTGTCTCTCCATCAGGGCAGTCATTATGGAGATTTACGATTGGAAAATGGGAAGTTTTCATCTAGATTTCCCTTCATATAATGACACATATGAAAATTAGCCCTATGACTTTAAATGAATCTAGTTTTTGGTCTAAGTAGTTGCACCAGTGGGATGTTTTTGTTTGCAAGGAAGGGAATACATCACTAAAGTACCTTAATATTATTTCCCATAACAAGAAGCCTAAAAGACAGGCTGAAGGAGCTGTGGTGGTTGCAAATATCCTATTCTTACCCAATTACAGAAGCAAGGGAAGGGAGCAGGAAGGGTCTTCTGCAGCTCTCCGGTTTTCTTTTCCTTTTTAAAATACATCAGGAGGGGTGGGAGGGTAGCTTTTCTAAATATACCAAAGGACACTGTCTTCTGTCTCCCTGGTCCAAAGGGTGACATGAGGGTGGAGAAGCACATTTCTGGCATTTTTTACTTTCCTTATAGACAGAACAGGGTTAATTCTGTGCTCACCAATAGCAGATTCCTCAAACTAACAATTACAAAGAGGTTTACAAAGCCTTTCACATACCCTCTTTCTTCTGATTCTCCTTAGCAAATCCAGTGGCTGGAAAGTTGGTGGTGGCAGTGCCTGTTACTGTGGACCAGGCCTACTGCAGATGACCAGCCGGGGGCCCTACCTAAGAACCTTGTCCAAGGCAACTTGCCTAGAAAGTAGGGGTGCTTCCTACATGCACCAACATGTAATGATGATGACAAGGGTGCTTATGGCACCCCAGGCATGGTGATCTCTCAGTCAGACAGTGGAGGTAGTTTATTTCACAGATGAGGAAACCGGCTCAAGGGCACATACCAAGAAAGTACCGCTCTGTGTACAGAACTCCAGTGCTGCCTCCAGGGTTGGACATTTCTTTACACCGTCCTGTTTTCCCATTCTAATTCTTCTATCCTTTCCAGGACTATGGCTTCTGAGCTAAGCTTTCTGCAACTTCAGTTTACTCATCTGCAAAGCGGGGATAACTCTACCTACTTTATAGGATTCCTATGGGGAGTAAAGGTAATAATTGACGGAAAGTGATTAACGAGGAGACAAATACAGTACGCTTGAGTTGTAGAACTTACCTTGCTATATTGTAATTTTCAGTTATGCTATTTACCCAGCTTCTTGGACTGAGATAATCAGGGCCCCTCTATACTCTTAAGAATTCCTGTGGAATCTAAAAAGCTCAAGCACTGAAATGAAAATTGAGAAACGCTTAGAAACAGTACAGGCAACACGCTCCCACAGCGATGTCGCTCCCACGCTACAGGTCTCCTACAGAAAAGTGTAAACTTGTGAGAGCACGAACGTGAAAAAGGCAAAGAAGGTGTCTGTGTTCCTAGGAACACTGTTTTGACTTTACCCCTGACCACACTTGGAGAGCTGCTGCCCGGGTAACAGGAGGCTGGCGCCCGGAAACGCTTGGTAAACGAACCGTCGGACCTGTGGTTGCTTAGACGAGGAAACCGAGAATTTAAGGCCAAAAGAGGCAGCGCTGGAGCCACCACCCTCCCGCAGCGCCCCTGCTGCCGCCTGCATCCTCCCGCCCTGCCAGCACGCGACCGTCGGAGCCCGCATCTGCGCCAGGGCCCAGACCCTGAGCGCTCAGCAGGGAAACCCCAGTCCCCGCGGCCTCGCCGCAGGCCCCGCCCCCCGCCTCCTGGTTTCCAAGGCAACCCCGGGCACCGTCCCGGCGTCCCACTCGGGCTAAACCATTTTCGTCAGGGGCCTTCTCCAATGAGGAGGGAATGTGACAGAACGCTTACGAGAGTCTCTGCTCCCATTTTGTCTTAGGTAATTTAGAAGCTACACTTACATTTCTCCCCTAGCTAACTACGTCAGCAAAGAGCCCAGAGGCTGCTCCGACGTTCCCCCCAGCTCGGGCCGCGGGTGGTGCGGCTCGCCGGGGCGCCTCGCCGGCCGCGCGGGTTGGCGTAGAGGCGAGGGCGCGCGCCCGACGTGCGCGCAGGGGGCGTGGCCCGCGCGGGGCCGGGGGAGGGGAGGCGGGCAAGATGGCGCCCGGTGACTAAATTCTCCTTAATCTCTCCGGCGGTTGCTGAGGAACCGGGGTGGGGGGTTCTGCCTCGACTCCCTCCGTTCCTCCTCTCCCCCGCCCCTGGAAGTCTCCTCCGCTTCCTCACTCCACCTCGGGGGGCCGGGCCTGCTTCCCGGGACACCATGTCGGACTCTGAGGAGGAGAGCCAGGACCGGCAACTGAAAATCGTCGTGCTGGGGGACGGCACCTCCGGGAAGGTCAGTCCTCCAGCGGGCCCGGCCTCCCGTGTCCGCGGGGCCCCGCCGGGCCTCCTCCCCGCCCCCGCGTCGCCCCGTGTCCCGAGCCCTGGGCGCCGGGGGAGCCCGCAGAGCCCTTCAGCGCCGCTGAGAAACAGTCGCGCCCGACCCCTGCCCGGGGCGCGAACGCCTTCGGGGCTTCTGGGCCAGCCTCGCGCCCGGCTGGGAAGCCCCGCGGCTTCTGGCCGCTCGGGGACGGCGAGGTCGCGCCGGGGCATCCTCCTGCCCCCTTCCCGGCTCCCACTGCCCCTCCCTCCCCTCCCTTTTGATGCCTTCACTGCGCTGCGAGCTCCCGAGAGGTTGGCCCTGGAGTCGGATTCCCCGGGTATGAAGCGGGCTCGGTCAGCGCCTGGACGGGGGCTGGGGGCACGCTGCTGACCTGTGTGCGCTTCATCTGTGACACGGGTATGGATAGAGGCCACCGCGAGGGCAGAAATGTGAAAACCCACATGAAATGTGAAAGTGCACGTCAAGCTTTCCGAGCACAGCCGTGTGCACACAATAAACGTCAGGTGCTGCTTTGCGGTTAGCGCCGTCCAGCTCTCTCCGTTCCCGGCACCGCACCTGCCAGGACAGAGTGGACGGAGCCCCCGGGGTGGGCTGGAGACTGGGGGCTCCCCGCCTGCACGTCGGTCCCGCGCAGCGGCGGGCTGGGTGGAGGGGTGCACGGGGTGCCGGGCGGCGGTTGTCAGTTCCCGCAACTCCTCGGCAGGGTTCCTTAACCCAAGGTTCTGGAGCTCCTAAAATGGAGCAAATGTTGCCGGCTCCTTGGAACATGAGATGTGGAGGGGCCGTGAAGAGGCTCGGCTTGGCGCGCCTTCATACCTGTGCTTGTGTCAAGGTCACCGATACTCGCCCAGGGAACATTGCTCAAGTGTGTCTTTTTTTCACTCCTCTCCCTTTTCCCTACCGTGGTCTTCAGAAATGTGGGTTCTTACTTGCTGCCGGTTTCCTGTTTTCAGCTTCACATTCCCCTGTTGCTGGTGTAGTTTGGACCCTGGTTGCTGTGGTGACGACTGCTCTTTGCAACCTCCCTGGCAGTTGGCATCGCTGAGCTGCACTCCTGTCTTTGGAGTATTCTGTTTCTTTCTTGTCTGCCAGGATATTTTGTTATCGACTTTTGGTGCTGAGGAAAACAGCTTAATGTGCTTTGGTTACGTTTAAACATTTTGGGGGAAAGACCTGCTTTTCTTGATGAAGTAGTCTGTGAATGTTTTCCATTTCAAAGTTTTGAAGGAGTTGTCATAAATAAATCAACATTGTTTCTGACAGTTTCACTCAGTTGAAATTTTGTTAGGTTTTTGTAGTTTTCTTATCATTTAGATTTTCATTTGAAAGCCACCTGATTTTTCAAAATCCTCCTGCACAACCAAACTTATTTCCCATTTCAAATTATAGTGACTGTAACATTTGTAAGAAGACACAAAAACTACCTGTCACCCTCTAGGCTATCATAATTTTTTAAACTTTTGCTCATTTTTCCTTCAGTGCTTATTTATCACACTTGTATTAGTTGAAATTTGTTTGTAAGTTTGTGTCAATTTTTTATTTAGCCTCTCATACACGTTTCCCTCTTGTTGTTACTTTGGTGTGATTAATTGTAGTTTTTCATCTCTCTAAAATTCTGCTTAGTGTAGGATAAAATGTAATTTTTCCATTTCCCTATTGTTGAATTAGGACTATCTGCTTCAAAGAATAACAGTGCTCTGACTTAAGTCGTCATCATCTTGACCAAATAATCTATATTAAAACTGTAACAGGTTTTTCTGCCAGAAATTTCCTGACATAAACATCTGACATCTAATCTTCTGTCATTATTTTAATATCTAGCATATCCTCCATACCTTATCCAGCTCTCAAATTATTGGCAGCTACCCCAGTTCCCATTATATCCCATACTGTTCTTTTCTTTGATGAACTGAGTCTCTCTTTCATCTCATTTGTATCCTTATTTAACACTTGGCCACTTTTTCTAGCATTGTTTTTTTTTCTTGCTGGTTCTAACTCTGGCGTTTTTATACACAGAGACAGAAGCAATGGAGTATGGAGATGACCACTACCATTTCTTCAGGAGACATTTAACTCCTCCCTCTAATAACATGTGTTTCCCCCTTTTTTCCTGTTCTGATTCTTCTGATTTTATTACCTATTTTATCAAGATTTTTTTGTGGGGCAGAATAGTCTATTTTGGTATCTTTTTAGTGTTGGTAAATGTAGTATGGTTGTATAAAGAATCAGATAAAAATATTTTAGATAATCGTGGCTGGTTGTTCATGTCATACCTGTAATTGGTTAACAAGGGTATTTATACAGTGACTTGTGAGAAATTATTGAATGTGAGAGATGGCATGAAGTCTGGGAATTAAAGAAGAAGTGTCCCCCTCCCCTCTGATTCAGTTGATTCTATGTTTAATTTTCATAGCAAGATGTTAGGAGATAATGTAATAAGAACTTATTTTAATATTCTCTATTTAAAACACTCTATTCCAACAAAACCCTAGCTTTATGTTTGCCTCAGGAGTGTGAGGGAAGGCCTTTCAAAATCTAGAAGTCCTTCTTCCAAGAAGAGAACTTGACTGAACATTTTTTGAATACTCTTGAATATAAAAATATTGAACTCTGAGAATCTTTAATGGAAGTGAAAAATTATCTTAAAAGACCCAATGAGGATGTTACATGTGCTTTAAATTTCTCTTTGATTTTAAGTGTTTCATCTGTGTATTAAACATTTTGAAATACCGGTAATGATATACATATGATAGTTCCTTCCCTCTAGAACTCTGAGCTTCCTCACCGATGGTTTTGGCTCTAAGTTAGACAAGCTCAATGGCATAATTAAAAGTAAATAAAGGAAAAACGTCTTTAAAAAGAGATACTTATCTTTTAAATTTTTATCTCTCAGTTTTGATATTGTTACATGCTCCAAGGATGTATCATGTAGTGAATTTATTTCTAAATGTCTAGCAGAACATCTTTCAAATGGCAGTACACAACAAATATTTGCCTAAATATTCTATACATTTATTACAAATGCTTGGTTTTTGTATATTAAAAAATATGGAGTTGGGCGGTGCCTGTGGTTCAGTGAGTAGGGTGCTGGCCCCATATACCCGGGGTGGTGGGTTCAAACCCTGCCCCGGCAAACTGCAACCAAAAAATAGCCAGGCGTGTGGCAGGCCCCTGTAGTCCCAGCTACTCTGGAGGCTAAAGCAAGAGAATCGCTTAAGCCCAGGAGCTGGAGGTTGCTGTGAGCTGTGTGACGCTGCGGCACACTACCAAGGGCAATAAAGTGAGACTCTGTCTCTACGAAAAAAAGAAGAAAAAAAAAAAGAAAATTTGGAGTTAGGATATATAAGTTGCCATTTGTGTGAAAAACATGGTTCTGTGTAGAAGGAATTTTAGTCATCCTTTTAAAAGGAGTTGGAATTTCACCAGCTATTCTTTTGCACTTCTGTACTTAATGTCAAAATTAACTATAATAAGCTATCTCGGAAATTTTATCTTAGTTCATATTATTTTAAGAGTTGACATCTAATTTTAACTTTTAAAATTAAAAAAAGGACTATTTCCCCCTAACTTTTGGAGTCTTTCTTGAAGAATGTAAAACTTTAATGAAGCTGCCTTTCTCTTTTTGGGGGGGAGGGGGAGGAGTTTACATAAAAGAATAGTGAATTTAAGATGTTTAAGAGATCTTTGAGTTACTGAATTATTTTAATTGTTACCAGAATGATTGATGATTTTGCTTTGATAAGAAATGGTACTCTAAAAGGAAGTGCCAGAGTTTTTGAATAAAACTTTGAATTGTTATTAAAAAACAGTAAATGTATGTCTGTTGTGGTTCTAATATCTTGTGACTTTTTAGCATTATGGTTCTTGGATGGAAAATAATTATTTTGCCTCCTTTATATTAATCTTAAAAATACTAACTTTTAAATTTAAAGGGGGCATTATCACAGTCATTCTGTAGAATCATTTTCATTTAACGTCTTTATTATAGAGAAAAATTAGGTAGTTGAGTTGCTTTTCTTGTGCAAGAAAGGAAAAGAAATTCTTCAAGCAGGCTTTCCCCTCCTTAGTTAGTGCTTCTTATTAACTGAGGACACAACTACCCTCAGAATATTTAGCCTTAGAAATGAAACTTTATTAATGTTTAGTGACATTTTTGTTTAACTGATATGTATAAGGTTCATATATTTAATTATGTTGTTTTAGTTTTTTTGTTGACAATTCTCAAATTCTAATTTCCAGCAAGGAAAAGAAGCTGGACAATTAGGAGATTTAAAGAGCTCTAAAGGATAAGTCTGTGTCCCCACAGTTGGCTGCTGGCAGATGAAATTTACTTGGTGGCATGAAGTCCCCCCCCAACTGATTAGAACTCTTTAAAATTACTTGTTGAATTAATTGCAGTGTAAATGTTAAGATTACTTATTAAGATTTAGTAGTGGTTTTTTGTTTACATTTCTTAAACAAAAAAATTAATGTTGATATTCTGTGTATCGATTTTTTAGACCTCCTTAGCTACGTGTTTTGCTCAAGAAACTTTTGGGAAACAGTACAAACAAACTATAGGACTGGATTTCTTTTTGAGAAGGATAACATTGCCAGGTAAGAGACTAAAAAGTCTAGACATAGAAGATTGTACAAATCTTAAAATAAGTGGCATAGGGCAGAAATGTGTAAAATAAATTTTGGACTGCTTCTGCATGAAAATATATATAACCAGTAAATTTAACTTTCATCAAGATCTGCCATGCAGGAATATCGTCCATGAGTGTGAGAAAAGTTTTGCACTACCCCACCCTGTCAGTATTTTTGGCTACTATACATTTTTCAAGAATAAACAATAGTTGCTTATAAAATTCTAAAAAGCTTTTAAAAAACTTAAATGCTATGCATTTGTCAACTGATATTATATTAACTAAATGTGAAAAGACTGGGAAGGATTATTTCTTTTAAATATTATTTTGTTTCACCTCTGCTTCAGTTTTTTGTTTAAATGTTGAAACAAGTATAATGTAGCTATGGAACTTCTGTGCTCTAATATGTGAATGCTGTTTTATGCAAGGCAGCATGAAATTGCTGGCATTTAATAGACCACTAAAATTTAGGGTCCCTAGGCACTCATAAAAATACAGTTTGAGCATTCAAGATGTTTCAGTTCACCATGCAAAGAAACTATTTAGATGCCAGTTGCAGCACATTTTGTGGGAAATACAGGGAAATAATAACAAAAAAAAGAAAGGTTTATGTTTTAAGTTAGATTCTGAACAATTGGAGCTTTAAAATGCCCTATCCATTCAATTTCAATGGTTAGATTATATGTTTAAAGTATTTTATTAGAGACAGTTCATCTTGATTGACTTTATAAACTGTCCGTCCTCTCCTCTATGAGGAAATACATTTGAATAAAACGGCTGCAAGTGTAATGTGTGGCTCGTGTACTGGAACGTGAATGATGTAGTGGGAAGGAGTTTAATAAATGCCAATATTATTGAAATATGTTAACCTCTGAAACACTTCATCTATCAGACAATTCCTAATGAAAGATTTTGAGCAGGTAATGAAAACTCTTGGTGATTGGAGGTGTTCTCTGGCTCTCATCAGTGATACACTGTTAACGTTTTGTGATGGCTTGTATGTGGCTTTCCATGAAAAATAGATGAGGAGATAACAGAACAACGACAACAAAGAAAAAAAAAAAGAAAGAAAAAAAATTCCAATTTTTCCATTAGGAAGTTATTGTTGAGCAAGAGGTTTGTTTAATGAGAAACATGTGTATTTTGTTTTGTGTATATTTTCTTTTCATGTATTCAGAATTGAATATCTGATTTCAGTTTCGTTCTCATTCTCACCCTATGGATAATCATTGCTGCATACAGCAGTTACTATCAGAATACATGCACAAATCCCATAATACACATACTGAAAACTCATATTTATAGCAATAATTTTTTCAGAGATGCCTGTTATTATACACAGAGAACCTCAAAGCAGTATTTAGTTATTAGCTCTTTTGTTTTGATACTTAATTGGCACAGTACCTTTTTGTTTCATTAGTTTTAATTTTTCTAATTGAAAGGCTTAAATAAAGAACAAGTACCCACACAAATACAAAGACTGGTTTTAGACATTCCACATATGTGATGTATGGGATGATTTTAAATTTTTGATTACTTTGTAAAAAAAGATCTGATAGTCTTGAAATCCGAATTTATGGGATAATATTTTAGATTTAGTATGTAAGTTAAAAGGTGGTATCAAGACGTGTATATTCTTGATGAATGTGCATTTTAATTTTTCTGATTAAGTTTTTATTTGGATGGGCAGAGTTCCAGAAAAAAAGTTTTACATTTTCAAAGCAGTTGGTTATTACATAATAGAGTAAAAATTATAGTCAGGATTCCAGTAGGAAAAAATTATTTTAATATATCTTGTTTTTATATAATTAGTAGGTATATTAAGAAATGAGGTGAATAAATTGCAAGGTTTATATAGTATATCCTTTATATACTCTAATCTTAATTTTAGTTCATTATAAATGTCAAAAGGATGATTACTATTTGTATCACTTGCTAAATAAAATCTTACAGGCAGCATTATTGAATTTATAGTGGAGCAACAAAGTAGGTGAGTTAATATTTGTTAGTATTCTTGAAAGTCTTCTGACCAGTCAGATTGTTAGGGAGGTAAGCCTCCTGTCTGTCTCTTCACATTCTCTTCCTACAGGTTTTCAAGGTCATTACTTTGCAAATACTCATCCGTTTTAGAATATTTCATGATCCGGTGTGCTGTATAGTCTGGATGCAACCACTGTGCAGATTTTACTGCTTAAAATAGTGTATCTGTTAGTCAGAGATTCTGCTGATAGAGCTTCTTAAGAGCCTTAGTCAAAATACTTTCAGGAAGCTTGTGGGTACAGTCCAGTAAACAGCGTTCTACTGTGAAAAGGATTTCTAAGCCTTTAGTACAAGAAGTGGGCAGACTTGTGTTTTTAGTTCCATCTTGACTATGCAGCACTTTAAGTAAGGTTAACCAAGGCACCAAGTGTACTTTTACAGGGTCACTGTTGAATCCTCTCGGTGGCTTTGATTCATACCAAAGACAGCTTGCCTGTGTTTTGTCACCTCATTTATTTTATTTTTTCCTCTAGTTACATGTCATTTTCTACAGAGAAGCAAGAATTCTGTAGCATTTTGCATTTGGAATTTGATTTATGATGGTTTCTTTAATGTTCTTGATTAGAAATTCCTATTAGTTGGATTTCTGATTTAAAAAAATTAATAATACTGATTATTTGAATATTCTTAGAACTTTGTAAAGTATATTACCTTGAAAATGTACTACAGGACTTCATATGTTTGTGCTGCAAAAACTAAAATAAATATTGATTTGTATCACATCTTTGTGTAACTTTGTTTCTCAAATGGAGAATCTACATTGTATTTTTAGTTTTATGTGTTAAAAGTCTAAAATTCAAATGTAGAAGTTAAAACTACATTTCCACATGAATGAAATAACATGAAATTAATATCATTTGTTGAAGCTATAATGATAGTAATTTTTTCTAGCATTTTATATTAAAGGATTACCAGTAGTTCATAGCTATTTTTATTTCTTAGTCACTAAAATCTATAAATTAAAAAAAAAGTCAAACATCAGTAATAAGCATGTTTACTTGGAAAGGTATGGATTTTAAAAGTTCTCTTAATACATGAATATGAACTTCTTAGATGAGAGGCAATTGAATAGATGATTTAAACTCTTGAAATGATTGTAGTCAGAATTTGGAAACATGAAGGTCGTGTTGCTCAAGTTACAGTTGCAATGTTCACAACAGTTTAGGTAGGACCTGAATATCAGAGCTTAACAAGGGAAAATGAAAGAGAAAAACGCTGTCTGGATGCAAGGTTAAGTGGTAGGAATTACTGATTTAGAAATGGGATTAGATATCCTTTAATAATTATTAAGTTGTTGCCGGAAATATTGCCTGTGGAAGTTCATATTGTTAAGCACTATCTTTTGAAGTACACAAATGACCTAAAGAGTTTTGAACATGAAATTAATAGACTGCTGCTTATCCAGGGGCTTCCAGAACTATTTTATATATTTCTAGTGACAGCTAGCCCTTTCTCACCTACTTAATTAGAAATGGCATTAGAGGAGAATGATTTCAGTTTTGAATCTCAAAAAGTTTAGTTTTTAAGATTTATACAAGATTTTGGACAAATCTTAATCTGTAATATTTTGGTCTTCATATTCACAAGGCTTTAAGAATGATTAATTTGTTGTTCTGTGAGCCTTCAAAGTGTGTGTCTGTGGCAATGATGACGGGTGATAAACTCAGTAGCTCTCATTAATGCTAATGGAAGTTCCTCATGGAAATCTTTGCATGTGGTGTATGGAACAGACCTATGTTTAAATAATGGAGATATTGTAATATCAGCTCTCCAAAATTTTGAGTTAAAAGTAAAACTGTGCTGGTTAGTTCAGTGTCTTACTTTCTTTTCAGTTGTGGAGTTAGTGTGGCTAACATTGTCTGATTCCTGTGTTTTACACTGGTGTATAAATTTATATCTTTTTTGTTTTTGTTTTTGAAGTGAGATCATTTTTTCAGTTTGTAAGTTTTTATTTATAATTTTTTTGGATTTGCAAATTATTCAAAAAGTGCTAATTGAGTCTTTGGAGACAACTACATAATTTTAGAAGTTTTGAAATGTCAAACTAGGAAGCATCTCAGACGTGTTCCTTAGCTTTTGTAGCTCATTTATTGCTTGAATTAATAGGAGAGAAAGTTTTATTATTTCAGAAATTTTATATCAATAAATATTTTGTAAAATGCACATAAAAGCTTTTAAAGATTTCCTTTTGGAGTTTAAAGGGCTTTTCTAATGCTTGTATGGGGAAGAAGATTAGTCACATTATTTTATGAGGGCTAGGAAGCAGATATGATTTGTGTTCAAAGGAAATGCTTTGAACAGGTATGAAGGCAGCACAATATTTAGTGATATACTCAGAATACATCCTACATTATTTTTGAACAGGGCTATCAAATATGCTTCTATTTTATGGGTTAAATTTGAAAGCATATAATTTTTTTATTATGTTTATACCATCACGTACAATAACTGACATTCAGATTAAAAAAGATTCATTAGAGTTGAAATGAAACTGTGAGTGGATTATTGTAGTCTGCTGTTATTCTGTGAGTTTTAGAACCTATGGAATTTAGAACCTACAGCAAAATTTGTATGTATAATTGGATGGGTGAATGTAAATATAAGGTTTACTATTTGTGTTAAAGTGTATTTCTTACTCCTTGTACATGCATTCTTTCTAAGAGAAAAAATTGCAGGCTTATGTTTATAAGTTAAAACTTATTTTCTTTTGTTTTAAAGGTGATTGCAAATGGTTCCATGGAAAGGAAATAGAGGGATAAATGTAGATTCCCCACTATGGTTTCTTTTGACCAGTGGTTCTCAACCTTCCTAATTGCTCCGTTGTTACAAATGGAAAAAAGGGGTCGCCACACACAGATTGAGAACTGCTGCTTTTGACAATGCTAAATTCACAGTTTCAAGTATCTGGTCATATGAAGTTGCAGAATAAAAGGCAAATTGGGTTCAGAGTTTATCATTGTGACTAAGTGTTCTATGAAAGTGTGTTCTGTTATTACTGTTTAACTTTTTTCATATTCTTTTATTTTGCATTCTAGGAAACTTGAACGTTACTCTTCAAGTTTGGGATATAGGAGGACAGACAATTGGAGGCAAAATGTTGGATAAATATATCTATGGGGCACAGGTATGCTATGAATTCTATGATTATTCCAACATAGAAAGCACACCTCAATCGGTACTCAAGTCCTCATGCTGATACACAGACACATGTAAACACACACACACACCCCTTCTTTCTAACCCGATTTTTCCTTCCTTCCTTCCTTCCTTTTTTTACCTTCCTTCCCTTCCCTTCCTCCCTCCCTCCCTCCCTTCCTTCCTTCCTCTCTCTCTCTTTTTTTCTTTCTTCTTCCTCTCTCTCTCTTTCCCTCCCTTACTCCTGCCCCCCAACTTCCTTTCTTTCTCTTGCTCTCTTTTTTTATTTTTGAGACTCTCTCACCCAGGCTAGACTGCAAAGGCCTAAGGCTCAGGAACCTCAAAGTCCTGGCTTCCTGCTGAGACTATAAGCACCTGCCACAATGCCCAGCTAATTTTTCTATTTTTAGTGGAGATGGGGTCTCACTTTTGCTCAGGCTGATCTCAGTCTCCTGAGCTCAGGGATCCTTCTGCCTTGACCTCCCAGAGTACTAGGATTATAGGTGTGAACCATCATGCCTGGCCTCAAATTGGATTTTTATCTGGATATGTAGAGAGACTAATTTTATATTTGTGAGAATCCTTTGGTTTCTTTCTTCCCAAATTATGTTTGGAACAATTTGGGTGTGGGAAATAGTGGCACTAATTGGTGGGAACTGGAAAACTTTTTTAACAGCCTTCATATCATATTTATATTACTAGACATTATTGGTAGCAATTAAATAAAATATAGTGATAAATTATACTTTGGTACTTATTAACTGATTTGGTTATAGTGACTACTTTCATATATACTGAATGAAAAGTAAAGAAGTAGAAAATTTAATTTTAACTGGCAAGGACAAAAGTGTATTTATATGTCTATTTTTATGCTCTGAATTGTCCTATTTATAAAATAGTTTTCTTAGATTTAATAGATATATCAATACTTTGTATCAATAACTACTTATATATATGAAGCACTTATAATAAATAATTTAACATGACAATGATATATTTTCAGAAGGAAAGCTGTGTAGAGCAAGAAAAATCATTTGAATAATTGCCTAAAAGTTATTTGGCAACCTAAGCTTATCTAGACATAGTTTTTGAGTTGTTAAATAAAGGTGTTATACACAAAGAAAATATGCAGTGTTGTAATATGTTTTAAAAGTTAATTATTTCTCTTTGAACATGTTCAGTAAAGAGTAATTGTCTTTTTAATGCTTTGGACTTAATGACAGAGAGTGAAAGCCAGTGGTGCCGTGAATGTGATCATTTGATGGAGCAGCATGCCTGGTGCATGGCTGAGTACGGTGCTCACGCAGGTGTTTAACTGGTGTGAGTGTTCACATTTTCATGAAGTATTGTAAGGGTAATACTTCAAAATCTTCATTTAGGTCTTCTTTGGAGTTTGGTATTTTGAGTAACAGAGCCTCACTGGCATGGAGCTGCCTTGCTCATAGCAAGTGGCTTCTGCTGGGTAAAGACAGAGAATGCTAAGCCCTCTGCTGCCCCTTCAAGCTTGGTCTTGTCAAATACCACAGCCTTAATTTTGGATAGTAACTAGATTCTGATTTATTCTGATTTATTACTGAAATATTCAGAGTAGGATAAGGGAGGCTGGCACGGTTCTGAATCACATGTAAAGGCCCTAGGGTTCTGTGTTGCAGCACTGATACGTGGATTGGCCTCTCAAGCGCTTTCTTTTTTGCCTTTTTTCCTACATTATTGTCTCCTGCAAAATCTTTCTGCTCATGTTTATTATTTTCATCTGTGATCAAATAACTTGAAATTTTGTGCATGTTCATTTTTCCTTTAAAAACTACATCTCACATGTTTGTGTCTGGTTATTTTATTAGTATTTTTTTTTTTTTCTGTTTTAAACTGATAGGTTTAAAGTTGTTGGTTATGAGATTGGTGGGAAGCCATAGTGCTTGCTTCACTTACATGGTTGGAAAAATGGGATTTGAAAATAACTTTTTTCTCTTTTCTCCATAAAATGTAATTTCAAGGCAACATCAGAGATTTAAAAAAATGTAGAAAAATTAGGTTGGTCTAACTTCTAATGATGTTTGATTTTTGGTGTCAAATAGAATAGCCTTTTATGATTTATAAGTATAGCTAGAGTTAGTGGAGAACAGGGGACTTTATGCATTGCAGGGTAAATAATACAAAATTCATAATACATATTTCAATTAAAAATTAGGGGAATATAATGCCCATTAATTATATATATGTGTGTTTGTATATGTGTATATATATACAATTTATTTATTTTTTTTTGAGACAGAATCTCAAGCTGTAGCCCTGGCTAGAGTGCCATGGTGTCACAGCTCACAGCAACCCCCAACTCTTGGGTTTAAGCAATTCTCTTGCCTCAGCCTCCCAAGTAGCTAGGACTACAGGCGCCCACCACATCGCCTGGCTGTTTTTTTTGTTGATGTTGTTGTTGCAGTTGTCATTGTTGTTTAGCTGGCCTGGGCCGGGTTCAAACCCACCAGACTGGGTGTATGTGGCCAGCACCCTGCCCACTGAGTTATGGGTACCACTCATTAATTATGTTCTTAATTGCACCTTACTAAAGAACATTTATAAATTTATTATTTAATTTATTTAAATTATTAAAAAGTCTATTATTATTATATATAATGAATATTGATATGAAAGTCACATAATATAAATTGATCATTCTGAAGTGTACAATCAGAGGCATTGTGTCTGTTCACAGCGCTGTGTCATCCTCTCCTGAGATGAGTGTTTCACAGTGTGGACTTCATGTTATTACATGGCTGCCTGTATTCAGCAGGCATTGATGGGGAAATTTGTAGACCTCTGAAGAACTTTCATCTTTTCTGAGAGCACTTAAGTTTAATAAAATGTCTGTATTCCCTTCTGTGTTTTGTATTTCTTAGGAGAAAGTGAATGTTTTATTCCTCCTTAGAACTTGTCATGTAAGGTTTCTATCTTGAAGGTACATGTTGACTTTTTCCCCTTTTGCTGGTAATATATATTGTTTACACTTGTACAATTTCTGTGTGTGTTACAAGCTTTATCCTGTTTTTATTTCATTTATCCTGTTTTATTAAACAATAGTGTAGTACAGCATTTCTGAGAAATTCACAAATATTTTCATGATATTATCCCAGGAAACTGGAAATTCTGAGATGGTGAATTGTTATAAATTGGTAATATAATAACTTTCTTCTTCTTTCCAGAGACTCCAGCTTAAATGTTACGTAAAGCGTGTAAGGTACATGTATGAGTTGTCTGTTTTATTAAAATGTGTTTAAATTTTTTACTGGCATAAATTAGGGAAGATGTTACTTTTTAAAAATAATACTTTCAAACCATTCTAGTAGTATTTTAATATACTTAATAACTTTATATCACCCAGTCATGTAATTATTCTTCAAAGTGGGTATATTGCTTCTGGAATTGTAGATGCTTCATTTATATTGTCTCTGTCCTGAATACTTGGGATTTTGGTGCACATGCGACAGGCAGAAGTCTTTCACAAATAATGTTTAGACAGGCTGTTTTGAAGACATCAGTGACGGTGTTTTTAGGGTTTTCTTTTAGGATCCCTAACTTCTATAAAGAGAATTATCTTACATGTGTCCATGGTATTAAACTACGTAAATCCATTTTTTAAAGCATTTATTAACATCCAGGAAGAAGCTTATTTGTAGGCTGTGAGTTAACTTGGATCCAAGTAAAACCCTCTTCAGCCCTCACCTCTTGGTTAACATTAAACTTTAGCAGTATATCTATGGGAAGTATGGGGTGAAACCAAGTTGAATCAACACCCAAAAAAGAATTAGTGAGATATTTTGACAAGAACTAGTTTTAAGAATTAAAATATTCTCCAGTTAAATTCCCAGATTTAAATTAACTGAAAATTTTCTAGGAGTCTTTAGAAAGACGTTGTAGGCTATTTTTCATAGTGGTTAGGAGCAAACACACAGTACACAGTGTTTAGTGCCCTGGAACCTGTGGCTAACAGAGGCTGCAGCAAACCTCAGAGGAGGACTGGATGTTTCATTTTTGTAGCTCTTTCTGTACTGGAATCTAAGTGGTTTGCAAACACTGCCCCACTGAGCTTTCACTCAATGAAGTGTAGTATTTGTGAGGTAGAACACGACTAAAATTGTGAGCCCCTGCCCCATGCAGATGAGCCTGCCTCTGAATTATCATCAACAAGAGGTTTGTTTAGAGGATAGCTGGGGAGAGAGCGCATCTCAAAACTGGACTCCCTGAAGCGCTCTCTTCTCTTTTACTCTGCATTTTTCAGTAGTGTATTTGCCAACATATAACTGATGTTTCTAGACCTCTTTTGCGTTAGCGTTTCTCACAGGTTGTATTTTGGTGCAGCAAGGTGTATGTTGTTATGGCTCTTGTATAATCTGTATGATTCACTTTATATATAACTACAACTAGATTTTTTGTTTTGTTTGATACAACTAGATCAGGGGAAAAAGTAACCTGCACTTAGGGAATGGGGAAACTTTCATTTTTGACATTAAATAACGTGTGTACTGTGTTGAGCTCCTATTAAATCTGTGCGGTGCTTTATGAGACTGTTAAATGTTGCTGTCTGTGTTTACCCCTTCAAAACTTTATCAGTGATTACTTTGAAAAGGACATCCACTTGATTTACTGACTCATCGTTGTTATTACATATGGCAAAAAGTGAAATAGATGAGACGGTACTGCACTAGCCTGGTGTAAAACTGACCAGCAGTCTTGAAGTTTACAAAGACAAGGGGTGCTAGTATCTTCTTGAAACTGGAATTGAGGGGAAGTGCAGTTAAGGCATAAAAAGTGGAGGAAGTTTCTGTTCAAGATTTATTAAACTTGAAATCTCATTTCCAAAGGTCACATGAAAAGGTTTAGGAAGAAAAGTATTTGACGAATAAATTGGGAAGAGGAAGCACAGATGGTGTGAGGATGAAGATGTGGGAGAAAGAAAAATAGCAGATAAATAATTCAGATAATAACATTGAGATAATAAAAGGCATCTGAGACATGAGATATGGTGATAGGTTTAGATGACCACAAGATAGCCAAGGAAATTAGATCCATTGGTTCCCAAGTAGATGATTCTCAGACCTTGTGCAGGCCAAGTTGTGTTATTTTTCTGAGGAAGTTGTACTGCCTTGTGGATGGGAAGATTTCGATAGTTTTCTGGAAGGAGTCAGAAGAATTCTGGATTGATTGATGTGGTAAGAGATGGAGGGATTTCAGGTGCTTGTATTGTAGAGTTTCAAGAGGTCTGGCTTCTTTTGTGCTAAGGCTTATAGGCCCTGAAAGTCAATAGTTTTGGTAATGTGTGTCTTTCAAAGAATTGGTCCGTTTCATTTACATTATCAAATTTGTGGCCATAGAATTGTTCATATTACTATCCTTTAATGTTAATGGGGTCAGTAGTGGTGGCCATTCATTCCCGATACATACATAATATTGGTAATATGTGTCTTACCATAACGCCCTTTTTTTGGTTAGCTTGGCTACAGGTTATCTGTTTTATTGATCTTTTAAAAATTACTTAGATTAACTAATTAACTTATTTTTTTTTTTTTTTTTTTTTT